AGAGATGGTCCAGGTAAACTTAAGGTTGGGGTGGAAGGTGTTAGTGAAGTGGATGAACTGTTCGAGCTCCTTGTGGGAGCACGAGGCGGCGCCGATACAGTCATCAATGTAACGGAGGAAGAGGTGGGGTTTAGGGCCGGTGTAGGTACGGAAGAGGGATTGTTCCACGTAACCTACAAAGAGGCAGGCGTAGCTTGGGCCCATGCGGGTACCCATGGCTACCCCCTTTGTCTGTAGGAAGTGGGAGGAATTGAAAGAGAAGTTGTTGAGTGTGAGGACGAGTTCGGCTAAGCGGATGAGGGTATCAGTGGAGGGGGACTGGTCGGGCCTGCGGGACAGGAAGAAGCGGAGGGGCTTAAGGCCATCTGCATGGGGAATGCAGGTGTAGAGGGACTGGACGTCCATGGTAAAGATGAGGTGTTGGGGACTGGGGAATTGGAAGTTCTGGAGGAGGTGGAGGGCGTGGGTGGTGTCACGGACATAGGTAGGGAGTTCCTGGACCAAGGGGGAGAAAATGGAGTCTAGATAGTTGGAGATCAGTTCGGTGGGGCAGGAGCAGGCGGAGACAATGGGTCGACCAGGGCATTCAGGTTTGTGGATTTTGGGAAGGAGATAGAAGCGGGCAGTGCGAGGTTGGGGAACGATGAGGTTGGAGGCCGTGGGTGGGAGGTCACCTGAGGTGATGAGGTTGTGGATGGTTTGCGAGATGATGGTTTGGTGCTCAGGGGTGGGGTCATGATCAAGGGGGCGGTAGGAGGAGGTGTCGGAGAGTTGGCGTCTGGCCTCGGCGATTTAGAGGTCAGTGCGTCATACTACAACTGCGCCTCCCTTGTCCACGGGTTTTATGGTGAAGTTGGGTTTGGAGCGGAGGGAGCGGAGGGCTGCACGTTCTGCGGGGGAGAGGTTGGAGTGGGTGAGAGGGGTGGAGAGGTTGAGGCGATTGATGTCTCGACGGCAGTTGGAGATGAAGAGGTCGAGGGAGGGTAGGAGGCCTTGGGGTGGTGTCCAGGAGGAGGGTGTGTGTTGGAAGCGGGAGAAGGGGTCAGTAGAGGGAGGGTTAGGTTCACGGTTAAAGAAATAAGCGTGGAGGCGGAGGCGGCGGAAAAACTGCTCTATGTCCAAGCGTGAGCGGTATTCGTTGATCTGTGGGTGGAGGGAGACAAAGGTGAGCCCTTTACTGAGGACTGACCGTTCGTCCTCAGTAAGGGGTAGGTCTGGGGGGATGGTGAAGACTCGGCAGGGCTGGGTGCTGCTGTCTCCTCTGGAGCTGCTGGCTGTGGAGGCTGTGGGCGGAGCTGTGTCGGCGTCGGCTGTGGGCGGAGTTGCGTCGGCGGTGGGCGGAGTTGTGCCGGCGTCGGCGGTGGGCGGAGTTGCGCCGGCGGTGGGTGGAGTTGCGTCCGCGTCGGTGATGGGCGGACCGGCGTCGGAGGTCGGAGGAGCGGGGTCGGCGGCGGCAGGAGCGGTGAGGGTGGTCGCGACTTCAGTGTCGGTGGCAACGGCCGCGATGGTGTTTGCTGTCCCGGAAGTGGGGATCCCGGCGGTGGCGGATGTGATGTCATCTGTGGGTTCTCCGATAGTGGCCTCATGGCCAATGGCGGCGGACCCATTGTGGGGAAGGTCCTGGGTACGGCTGGGGATTTGGGAGGTGGAGGAAGCCCGTTTTGGGTGGTAGGCACCAGTAAGTTTACTGTACTTACGGTTTTTAGTGTCCAATAAAGCTGAGTAGAATTGGGAGTTCAGGTTGTGGATCCTACGAAGAATAAAAAACAGGAGAGGTCCTTTGCAGGTCTGGGAGAGGGAGGCTCTGAGCTGGGGTAGGCTTGATTGTAGTGCCTGGAGATGCCGGCGCATTGCTGCAAGTGTGTGTTTCAGGAGTCGCAGGGAGAAACGCTTCTGAAGGATCTCAACACCATGAGTGTAGATATTAACACGGCTGGGGCCAAATTGGGAAGGCCTGAATGTGGATTGTAGTCCATTGGGGATGATCTGGTTCCGTAGGCAGGTGCTAAGGAAGGTGATGTGGCTGTAGTACCTGGTTTGCTTCAGGACGTGGTCGAGCAGTTTCAGGGCCGAAGAGATTACGAGAGAGTTGCAGTGGGAGAGAGATCCCTTGAGGTTTGTCCGGAGGGAGGAGGGTAACTTCTTCAGGTTCGGCATCCTTAGAAGAGGCTTTGCAGTGGGGTTAAAATTGAATCAGAGATAGTAGGAACTGCAGATGCTGGAGAATCCGAGACAACAAGGTGCAGGGCTGGATGAACACAGCAGGCCAAGCAGCATCATAGGAGCAGAGAGGCTGACGTTTCGGGCCTAGACCCTTCATCAGAAGAAGGGTCTCGGCCCGAATCTGCAGCATCTGCAGTTCCTACTATCTCAGGATAGATAGGTCCCCTGGGCCAGACGGGTTATACACAAGGTTACTCAAGGGAAGCGAGGGAAGAGATTGTTGCCCCTTTGACAATGATCTTTGCGTCCTCACTGTCCACTGGAGTAGTGCCAGAAGATTGGAACATGACAAATGTCATTCCCTTGTTCGAGAAAGGGAATAGGGATAATCCTGGAAATTACAGACCGGTCAGTCTTCCTTCTGTGGTTGGTAAATTATTGGAGAGGATTCTGCGAGATAGTACTTATGATTATTTGGAAAAGCACAGTTTGATTAGAAATATCCAGCATGGTTTTGTGAGGGGCAGATCATGTCTCACAAGCCTTATTGAATTCTTTGAGAATACGAAAAAACACATCGATGAAGGTAGAGCAGTGGATATAGTGTATATGGATTTCAGCAAGGCTTTTGATAAGGTTCTACATGGTATGCTCATTCAGAAAGTAAGGAGGCATGGGATTCAAGGAAATTTGGCTGTCTGGATACAAAACTGGCTGTCCAAAAGGAGACAGAGGCTGGGAGTAGATGGAAAGTATTCAGCCTGGAGCTCGGTGACCAATGGTGTTCCACAGGGATCTATTCTGGGACCTCTGCTCTTTGTGATCTTTATAAATGACTTGGATGAGGTAGTGGAAGGGTGGCTTAGTAAGTTTGCTGATGACATGAAGGTTGGTGAGGTTGTGGACAGCGTGGAGGGCTGTTGTAGGTTGCAATGGGACATTGACAGGATGCAGAGCTGGGCAAAGAAGTGGCAGATAGAATTCAATCTGGAGGAGTGTGAAGGGATTCATTTTGGAAGGTCGAATTTGAATGCAGAATACAGGGTTAATGGCAGGACTCTCTGCATTGTGGAGGAACAGAGGAATCTTGGGGTCTACGTCCATAGATCCCTCAAAGTTGCGACCCAAGTTGATAGGGTTGTAAAGAAGGCGTATGGTGTGTTGGCTTTCATTGACAGGGGAATTGAGTTGAAGAACCGTGAGGTTATGCTGCAGCTCTATAAAACTCTGGTTAGACCACACTTGGAATATTGTTTTCAGTTCTGGTCACCTCATTACAGGAAAGATGTGGAATCTTTAGAGAGGGTGCAGAGGAGATTTACCAGGGTGCTGCCTGGACTGGAGGACAGGTCTTATGAGGAAAGGTTGAGGGAGCTAGGCTTTTTTTTCATTGGAGTGAAGAAGGATGACAGTTGACTTGATAGAGGTGTACAAGTTGATGAGAGGCAGATATACAGTGGATAATCAGAGACTTTTTCCTAGGGCGGAAATGACTATTACGAGGGGGCATAATTTTCAGGTGATTGGAGGAAGGTATAGGGGAGACGTCAGAGGTAGGCTCTTTACACAGAGAATGGTGGGCGTGTGGAATGCATTGCCGGCAGTGGTAGTGGAGTCAGATACTTTAGAGCCTTTTAAACAACTCTTGGATAGGCACATGGAGGATAATATAATGCACGGTATGCAGGGTAGCTTGACCTTAGTAGGATAATATGTCAGCACAATATCGTGGGGCGAAAGGCCAGTCCTGTGCTGTACTGATCTCGAAAAAATTATGGTTTCAACTAATACGGATAGGTAAACACTCATGACAGTGGTCTGTAACTCTTTCCCTACATATGAGTACCTGGTACAGTTAGACAGAGAATAAAATCAAAAATCATTGTAAGTGAGAAAATAAACGCAGCCATTATGCAGAATAATAATCTATGTACGGTTTCACAGAAACCTTACCATGACGAAAGAGCCCATTCCACCCATCAAGTTTACATAATCCCTCCGAAGTGCATCCCGACCAGACCCAAAGCCATCTCTGTACCTCTTCATTTACCATGGTTAATCACCCTAGACCTGACACATCCCTGTACAGCATGACATGTTATCAGAGTCAAACCGCCTCACCTTCATATCTCTGGACTTGGGAGCAACCGGAGTAAGCCCACACAGTTACAAAAGAATGTGCAAATGACACAGACAGTGGTGGTGGAATCAACATTGAGTCTATGGCACGGGAAGCAGCAGTGCCTGTCGCTGAGACACCGTCCCATGCAAATTAATTTCACAAAAGTAATCTAGCAAAGGAGTTGGTAGATTTTATCCATTTAGAGAATTTTATGAAATAACACATTGCACAATCATCTTGGGAAGAATCTATTCTTGATTCAGTATTTTGCTATGATACAGACTTTATTTGTAACCTGAGTGCAAAATGTCCGTAGGGAATTAGCGAACATAACACATTGAATGTCATGTGAATCCATGAACAGATATAAAAGCAAATATAGTTCCCTTAATCTCTGTAAGCTTCTCCATCACTCTGTTCTGCAATGCTGAAGAGTGAAAAATGACTGATGTATGTTTAAAAACAAAACAAGAACGGGGTTAGCACGATAACGAGTCTCAATGACATATGTTTTAAAGTAGGCAGCGGGACAACTGCTGAGAAAGGCTGCCTTTGCACATAATCACAAATGCCTGGGATCAGGAAATAGAAAGCAGAAAGAGCTAGCATATTCCCTCCTTCCCAATACACTACCACATATTTGACAAACTGCTTGGGCCAGTTTTCAACTGATAACGAATTTACCAGTTGTGTAAGGAAGTCAGGCAACAAGTCTGTGTCCTGAAATAGGAGATAAGTGAAGATCAGGACACAATGAAACACATAGGATTCCCAATGATAAACTGGAGCCTACACATAATTTGAAGAGCTACACAGAAAACCAGTCGAAATCAGTCCACAGACCTTAAGTGGAGCCGTAAGATACTGACTGGTTTAACTCGCAGTCAAGACTCTTGAGGTCATGGATAAAGCCTTCTCCTTTTGAACAACGAGGTCATTTCATGTCTCTTCATGCAATTCGTCTGCACAATTATAAGGTAATGCACTTGGGCGGGATAAACGAGGCAATGGAATATAAGATGAAAGTTGGGAACTTTGGAAGCACCAAGGATCAGAGGGACCTTGGTATGCATGTGCACCGGTTACTGAAAGTATCAGGACAGGTAGATAATGCAGTTATGAGGGTGTATGGTAAAATTACATTTAATACTCGGGTTTACGCGCTGGCACATTATGCTGGAAATGCATCAAATGCTGTTTAGGCCACAGCTGGATTATTGTGTGCAGTTCTTCAATCCTCCTGCAAGATCTCCTCCAAGGCACTCTCCGTCCCCAATTAGAAATGCATCGCCATTCCCTCAGTGTCATTGTGTCAAGTTCCTGGAAATCCCTTCCTCGTGGCATTGCAGGTCTACCTACAGAACATGGGCTGCATCAGTTCAAGATTATATCATATATTCAAAATTATCCATGGTCTATGATTACTTTGCAGAATCGGTATAAAAATTGCTGAAGCTTGATATCTTGAGAATTAAATTTTGGACCCATATTTCTCTTATCTCCCTTTCTTACAGCAGATCTGATAACGATTGTGCTTCAGTCCCGAAGAAGATGCAGCCTTTCTAAGTACATCTCTGCCTATATGATATCCACGGCAGCAGCAGATCTCCTCGTAATGATCATTATTTTAATCTGATATCACATTCTCAATTATCATTTTCCAATGTCATTCCTGTCTATGCACATATCTCTAAGCTGAATTTATACATAACTGGTCTTGTTATCGATTTGTCTATTTGGTTCTCGGTTGCCTTCACTTTTGACCGCTTTTTTGTTCTGTTCTGTAGAAAGTATAAAACATATTAATATACTGTGAGAACTGCAGCTGCAGTCACAACCATGAGCTATGTCTTCGTCTGATTAAAAGACTGTCCGATACGTTTTGCTTACAGATTTCAGGAAATAATTAACAAGATGCACTGGAACTGCCTGCCAATTTATCTTCCTTCTCTTCAGTCCCCGGAATAATGTACATCTGATTTTACAGCATCGCTACAGTTTGGATTCCTTTTATTTTAATTGCCATGTTTAATTCATTGACAATTAGACATATTCTAGTGACCAGTAAAAACCACAGATAGCTTCAGAGACAGCTGAATGATCCTCAGCGCGATCCAGAAATGGAGTACGGAAAGAAATCCATCATTGTACTCTTTGCTATTTTGGCCTGCTTTGTACAACTTTGGCTGACAGCTGTTGTGAGTTCTGTAACTGCTAGCCTTGCAACTGCAACTTATCACTTCGGTAGAAAACCAGCATAGATTGCAGTTAAAACTGGAGCAATGCTCAGATGAAGTTACTGTTCAATCAAATGCATTTACGCACTGACCTCGAGGAAAATCAGAGAAACATTGATGAATCTCCTGAAACCTCCCTCTAAATTCATTACAGCATTCGTTAAACAGAGTAAGAAGAGGAGGTTGACTGTGTGTTGAAAGAATAGAATTCGGGTTTGAATTAAATTGGATACTCTTCCTGTGGCATTATTGTTAGGAACAATGAATAAAGTATTACGTGATTATCATTCTGTAGTATTGTGTCAAGAAAGGGAAAATTTCGTTTTCGAGTTGGTTCATGGGCTAGGACTGACGGCATTGAGAGCTTTATTTGTGAACATACAGTTTTATTAGCATCAGAAAAACCCTTGAAGTGAAGAGATAGAATTTGGTGGTTTAGAGCCTCAAATAAAATGTTGTTACCCATCAACAGGAATACAGTAGCACCAAAAATATTATAAAATTGCTGAAGTATGTCAGTTAGTGCATGTTTCACAAATAAGAAACCAGGAGGATTAAAATCTCAAGTGAGGTATCTTTACTCATGCTGACGATCGAGTTTAATGAGCTCTTGTATTTGCATTATTGTTGAAGTAAGAGTGAGTTTCGTTTGCAGGTTGTGGTGTACTGCAAAAAGAGATAACATCTGAAGCAAAGCATCTAGCAAATGCACAGCGTTTCCTCAGAAGGTAGCCGTTGCAGTTCTGCCAACATGAGTTGTAATGGAGATATAATGACAAATATTCGATGAAGTCTTTCTGTTTGTAATGACATTGAAGGGATAAGAACAATCCGTCTTCTTCATTCTCTAGTTTGAAGGAGCCCAAGTCGTCACACTGACCACTGCCTTCTCCTCCTTGTTTTTTGTTGGTAAGATGTAACTAGGGAGTGCGACAGGCTTCAGTCCTGGTGACAAATTATCAGCCGTCCCGCCCTTTGAGATGCTTCTCCCCGACCACCTCCAACTTGGCGATGTGAACTCCAGTGTGGTGTCATTGTTGCTTGATCTGATAGATGCCCGCCTGGCTTAGACCTATTTGTTTCTTTCAGTGACATGTTTCCAACTGCGTGGACCATAGATTTTCTTGAAGATAGATTTTCTGTTGAACACGAGGGCGATGTGTACCTAGTGTTCTGGTCGCTGGAGGATGTGTGGTGTCACGACTGCACACAGAGTTGCGACACCTCAGGCCAACTCTGCAGTTCATGATGTCAATGGGGTTGTGTGGGTGAGAGTCTGCCGCTGATGGAGGCCTGGAAGAAAGCCAAATATTTGTTGGTAGAGTCCCAGGAGGGTTTCCAGGGTGGCCCTGAAAGCATCAGCCCCCAGATTGGAGCGGGTCGCCTTTCAGAATATCGCAATCCCGTGTCCATTGGGAAAGCATGGGATTTGGAGCCTAGCCCAGGGCCTCTGGATGTGAGAACAGGAGGAATGAGGTGCTGCTCCTCGGTTTTGGCCACCCTTTGCATGCTGCAAAACCACCAAGAGAAAAAAAAAGGTTAAGGACGTGAGAGTTGGGGTGTCGGGGGGGGGGGGGGGGGTGCGCGTGGAGGTGGGGTGGGTTGTGGAGTGATAGATATGTCCCTTTATTCCTCCACCCTCCGAAAAGGCACTACTTCTTGTGATCTGAGGGCCCAAAAGAATCTGGTTCTGCCGTCACCTCCACTGTGGATGAATTGATACATTTTCCCAAAGAGCATTCTCCCTCCTCGCATGGGGAGTAGGGAACAAACCCGCACCCACAGACCTCCACGACTGAGCCACGCACCTCAGAGGCTGACGTCAACGTGGTCACTGATGTCTCACCCACGCCGCAAGAACCAGGAAGTGCCATAGCCAGACTTGCAGATTACACTGTTATAGATTAGGGACATAAAATGTAGTAAAGAAATAAGAACTGTTACAAATTGGTGATAGATAATGAGCTAAAATTTGGCAAATGGGTTTTAATGTGGATAAGTGTGAGGTTATCCCATTTTGGTCAGAGGAATAGAAAGGCAACTTATTATCGAAAAGAAGGGAAATTTCAGAATGCTTCAGTGCAGAAGGATTTTAATGTCGTCAGACATGAGTCATCGTAACTGGCATGTACGTACAGCAGTTAATAAGTAAGGCAAATGAAATGTTCTAATTGTGTTGCTAAAGGAATAGAGCGTACAATTACGAAGGTGTTGCTATAATGCTACAAGGTATGCGTAACACAGCTTTTAGAGTTTTGCTGATCCACTGGTGGTCATGAAACATTTGTCACTTGTCTGAAAAGAACAAAACACTTGTCATCTACAGTTCTACTAAGCAGCACCAGCTCAGCAATAACCTGCTCAGTGACAAACAGTTTGGGTTCCACTAGGGACACTCAGCTCCTGACCTTATTGCAGCCTTGTTACAAGCATGGAAAAAAAAAGAGCTGAATTCCAGAGGGGTAAGGTGAGAGTAAGGGTCTTGATATTCAGCCCCGAGTTGACTGCGTGTTTTGCATCAAGGATCCTGGAAAGGCAAGCTGGAATACATTGCTATTGTGGCAAAACTCTCTATTGGTTGCTATGATTACGAAGCAGACCCGTGGTTGTGGTTGTTGAAGGTCAGTCATCTCAATTCCAGTACATCTCTGCAAGTATTCATGAATGTCGTGAAGTAGACACAAACATCTTCAGATGCTTTATAAATATCCTTCCCACCATCTTCATGTTAGAATTGGGAATTTTTGCAGATGATAGCACAATGATCAGCACTATTCCCAACTCCTCAGAAACGGAAGTTGACCATGTTTAAATAAAACAGGATCGTGACAATACCCAGACTGCGGCTTTCAAGTAGCAAGTAACATTCACACCACACAAATGCCAATGGATGACCATCAGAAATAAGAGATAATTTAGCCAACGTTCTTTGACATTCAGTGGCTTTAACATCACTGAAATCCCCCACTACTAGAACAGAAACGAAATAAAAACTGTGAAGAATAAATTTAAATCAAGAGACTACTGCCATTCTGAAAGTTATATCAGCCACTCTACATTCCTCCCCAGACACAAACATTTTCCTCATTACTGAGACTCGTTTCTTTCATGTCCTTTTATAAGTGTTATGGCTGCTGCTGTTCTTAGTTAACATAAAATGGTTTTTACTTGGCATAAACATTGCTGAACAAGACTGTTAACTCAAGCAGTGATTTACACTGTCAGAATCGTGGCCTTCATACTCATAGCAACCAGGTAAGATAACCAAATGTCTCATGAAATCACCTAATAGGGTCTTATTAGGAAGAAGCAAAAACGTCGCCATTACTTACACTGAGACAGTTTGATTAGTGAATCACTGATAGACGCTTTTTTTGCAAGCTAATTTAATGTATTATATTTGAAATACTATAGAAGGAAAGAAGGAGTTTGACGCATATTATTTAAAGTTGTTGAATGATGCGTACACGTTTGACAGATTGTCACAAACAACAAAGACAATAATCTATATATTTTATGAATGTTCATCAGCCTGCGGCTGCTGTGAGGATTAATGTGACTGTCACTTTTAAAAAAAAATCCAGAAATTAGTTCACGTACTCGTTTACATAAAATGGCTACAACAAATACTAAAACATATATTTAGAAAAGGATGATTTATTCAGCTTCAGTAGAGGAATGGAACTCTCATAAAAGGAGAGTGCAATCATTTCATGCACATATTTAAAATCCTTCTCGCTGACGTTAGGATTCTTAAGTGTTGTGATGGCCCAATGATAGCAAGTAATGGCAAATCAACTCCAGTATCACTTGAGTTGCAACATAATTAATTCAAAATATTCGTATATCCTTACATTCCCAAATTGTTCCTGAACAGAGTTTAGGAAGTTCACAACTTAAACAAAAAATAAGTATTTAATTGCTAAAACCATAATTTCAGCAAAAGAATGAGATACGAGAAGGTAATCCAGTATCGATGCATTAGTATAAATGTAAGGTAATAATTATTGACACAAACAATTTCTTCAATAGTTTATTTAATTTACTGATTCAAATAGATAGCATCACATAATGTGATGTGAATTCAAATCACGACGATTTAGTTATGCCTCCTGGATTACAAATCCAGAAACATGGCAAAAAAGTCCACAATATTTGAGGTTAAGGCAATGGCTGCGGATGGATGAGAATAAGTATGCGTTATAAGTAATACTGAGTTAACAAAAAATAAAACATTTGAGCCATTCCTTCATGAATATGTAATTCTCTGACGAGCAACACAGATTTGTAACCCTGGATAAAGTTCAATTAATTTAAATAAGCTCAATGTCATTGCTTGTTCTCAACTCCACTGGAGATCATTGAAATCCTAGATTCAAGATTTGAGTTTCAAATAGTGTCTACAAACGAGGAAATAGAATAGCACCCAGCTTGAAATATAAGGGCTGTCCAGTCCTGAGTGATCTCCTAGAATAAACTGCTTGGTGATTAGTCAGAGATTTCCCAGACCACTGTTGCTCAAAAATGTTTTAATGCAAACTGACCCAACATATTTGTGGGTCTTCGTTATGCTTGAGATGTCAATGTAGGCTCTTTTTTTCTGGATTATTTGATTAGTTTATGAACAAGGCGTTGCAGTTGTTTGGTACAAGCTGGGCGACCCATAGACTCAGAGCGCTCTTCATTAGAGTGGGCAGCAATTCTATCTATTGTGATATGCTTGTGAAAAAAAAAAACAACCTGTTTACAGCAGCTCATTTTTCAGCTTCTGGCCCAAAGCACTAGCTGCAACAATGCAAGTAACTATTTATACTCTTGTGTAAAGGCTTCACTTAACAGTCCTTTCAGTTAGTCAGTTTCAACTTCTACCTCCCTTTGCGAAAACAGATCTCCAGAATTCATCTTTCACCGATTCTCTCTTACCTCAAATATGTGTTATGTGGTTATTAAGCCATCTTCTCATGAAATAATGTCCTCTCATCCAAAATACCTGTTCCATTCATAGCCATTCATAATATTGCTTTACAACACAGATCTTTGGGTCCAATCAGCATGATGGTGAATGTGCTGCTGTGTCTCCAGTTTAATCACACTCTTCTTACAAAGTGTTGACCAGAATTGCAAGCAATATTCAAGTTGTAACATATCTTGTGTTTTCTTTTTTCGCAGTTCCAACAGAAACTCTTCTATGATATGCCTTGTCCCCTTCTGGCAAAATAAAACATTTTTTTTTTCTTAACTCCCTCATGTATCTCCCTTCTACTTTCAGAAATCTTTTGGTATGTAC